GTATTTTCGTTGCGTAAGTTGCGGATGAGAAACGATGATTATTACATTATGTTAAACATTTCCTGAATTCTAAGTACGATCTATTCAATCGTGTGAATGAGTTAATAATGGACTGAGAGCATATATAGCAGGAAAATTTGGTAAAAATTCTTGTTCATCCTTCATTCATACGGAGAAACTCCGAAATCGGGAGAAAAGTTTTGCAATATTGACTGCGAACGAAAAGTATAAAACTAAAATTGTAATAACTTCTGCGTTTGCAAAATCAATATAAAATTTTATGTTGCAATCTTTGTGCATTAAAAGTTATTGCTTTGCATTTCCCATACATGCATCGTTCCACTATTATGAAAACACACCAAAAATCAAGTTTGACTCGGCAAGATATAAAAAGTACTCTCCAAACTTCGTAGGTTATGTTGTTATTTATAGGAACGGTTTGGAACGGAAACTTATACTGGTCAATATCCTATTTTATGGTTAGTCTATCGGCTAATTTGTCAAAGAAGCAAAAAAAAAACGTTGTGATGTAATTAATTTTCTGGATGAGTTGGATGGTAAAACTGGTCAAATATTGAAACAGCGCATTTGTAGGTAAGATTTAGTGGCTCCAGCGGATTACGCTGTGTTGGAAATCACTGTGCACATTTTAGTTTATATTAGTTAATATAAGTTTGAGTTTTACACTGGTGGTCGAATCCGGCTCGATTGGACCATTTTATGTAGACTCCCGGCACAATATTTATTAACAGTAATTAACTCAACTACACACGGACACTAGATATAGTTTGTTACAAAAAAGGCTATATCAGACATTTTAAATAACGGAGTGAAAAATAATAACTAGTTCAGAAATTGTTTGTAGAAATGTAATGTACTTAATTTTAGTAAATTGTATTAGATGTTATCCGGTCAAGGTGTACGTACAGAACTGAATAATTTCTTATAACTGGCTTAGTACCTATACTAGGGTAGGAAATTATTTTATTATGTCAGGTAGACAAAGATAGATGAATAAAATTTGTGAGGCTCGAACACATAAAAATCCTAAAATATCTTAATCTGCTCGATCTGACAATTTCCAGATATCGGAAAGTTCATGCAAGATGCCATTAAGACCTTATTTTCCATTCGACTGACCCTATTTAGTGAATTTCTATTTCCCCTGCGAGTAAATCTTTAGACTTAGTCCCACGATCCGTACGCATCTTATTAGTATGTAGACATCGTCCTCGAGAGTAGGTCTGTGGCGACAACTTAAACAAACATACCGCTACAGCAATTAGGAAGAGCTTAGGCAATCCAAAAATCGGTTTATTATTTTCAATAGGTTTGCAACATCGCGAATCATCATATATGGCTCGTTGTAAAACGAGACATGTGTTGCTTTGCTATTAATCCAATCCTACTGTCAAAAGAATTAATGTCTCTCTTTGGGAATGTCTGTCAAATGATGATCTCGCAATCACGAAAGGAAAATTATAGAAAATTTATTTTGGTTTTTTCTATATTTGATAAAGGCGGATGTGACTATGTTTGATAGGCAGTTTTTCAGACAACAAGAAATATTAAATATGATCACTGTTTCATAGTTACTTGTTCTGAGTTAAAAAGAATGATAAATATTAGCATTAAGTTAATTTGCACAACGTTAGTAGATAAATCTATTCATGAATAATTCCACTATTTGTCTAAATTGAGACAATAATTATAGTAACTGTAAATTGGCTAGCAAATATCTTAATCTTCATACTATATAAATAACCACATGTTGTACTGTTGTTACTACCTAACATAATTACTGTAATAATTCATAGAAACTATGTTTAGCTGAATGATTTATTTGATTGCGTTAATTTATGTATTCAATATTCAGAATTAGATTCTATAATTATTAACAAGTAAATCTCTATGTCAGTCATGTGTGCCTGACACTAAGAAGATCTACATGAGCCATGTCAGACATACGCAATTTTGTAGAGGAAAAAAAGTTTTAATATAGAATTAATGATATCAGTCATTATGTGTGACATAAAAAATAGTGTTTTTTTCAGGAATTTTACCAAAACATTTTTTTTTCTTAATACATACTACCTTATTTAATGAAGTAACCAAGTAACAATGGCCTATGTGGGAAGACTTAAAATTTAAACAATTTACCATAACAAAGTTTGAAATTATTAATTAAGGAGATTACTAGAATTTCTGACAAGGAAATGAGATGCTCCACAAATATTGTCCTAGTTGCAGTTTGTCAAGTAATAGTGTGTGAAAAGTTGATCTTGCAATCACGTAATTCTTGAACTTTGAAGAAAATTCTTAGGAAATTAATTCGTCACGTTTTCCAGATTTAATAAAACTTCTGTGATAATAGGCAACCGCGATTATAAACACACGAGCAAATTCCGGCCATTTCTGATCTCATGTGAATCACATTTTTAAAGACAAAGTGTATATATATATATATATATATATATATATATATCTCCTTCTACTCGCCTAAGTTCAATAGTTCGCTATCAAGAATTTATGCTAAGTACCTTTCTATATCATCCGAAAAAAACTACATAGATGTGAAACTGAGTCATGGACCTCAGTTACATTTACATGCTAAATAAATTATTCCTGCCTCCTCTGCGTACATACATCTTTGTATACGCATTTTTTTATAAAAAAATATTAACTTATTAAATCATCTGTCATGTGTCAACAGTAACGGTGTTGATAGTCCGATACATTTTAACACTTGTATCAGTACAGATACGATCCGAGGGCAAAAAACCACGCACATGCGGGAACTAGATTGCGCTTTTTTGCTTTTGTAACTTTTTTGTGTTGTGTTAGAAATTTGTTGCCATAATTGATTATGCAAATTAGGAATGCATTAAATTAATTTATTAATAACTGAGAATGAATAGAAAGGAAAACTTCAATCAATGCTGTATTTAAAAATAACTGTTTCGTTAAATGTACCAAGTATTTTTTGTTGCTTTCGAAAAATAGATTGATCAAAAATCTAAATAGCGATGTTGAATAATAATTTTTGAAACAAATGCATGGATAGCAACATACATATCATTTTGACAGTTTTTAGTACCAAGAAAGCAGCGTTACATAGCGTTGCCATAACAAGGCTATGTTACGCTCTATTTTGCTGGAGAATTCGCCCCTCAATATCAATGCATCGTATCTGAACCAAAATTACCCACTTATTGACCTTCGAAAGAGGAAGTACAACATTTTTTTTCTTTGATCTATATCGATGGAATCTATACATAAATCATATTCACCTTCGAAGTACTGAAACAGATTTTCAGAGATTAATTTAATTTTAAGCAAATCAGTGAAAAACCTTAGAATAAAATGCGTTCCCCCAGTGAGTATTTATCATACACATATTTCTCTTCCAGTAAGTGCTTGCATTTTAATTCAACAATAATGTATGGAATGCGATCTGATGTTAAAACCGTCTATTTATACCCTTGATATCAGTAAGAGGAAGAAACATTATCATTTTCCGCAGACAGTTATTAAGATGGATCGGAAGCGTGTGAATTGTATAAACTAAGCAATGTTGGCGTAAGTAATGAGTAATGCTTATGTAATTCCAGCGTAAATATGCACTCGGCGAGTACGGCCATATATCATTTTCTATTACGGTACATGTGAAACGATACAAACAATCTAGGAGGATTTCATTATTTGATAGCGAATAATTTCTATCAATTAGGAATTATTATTTTAGTGCCGAACCTACTTAAAGCATTGGGGAAAAAGACTAGCGAAACAACCATCGATCTTCAAGAAAATTTACCAGAGAATGGATGAGGAAGGGTGCTAATATTTTACTCTAATACACTAGCAGAAATAATAAAATTATGTAATGAATCGCTGTTTAGTATTATTATTGTCCACATCTTAATCTTGTAATTTATTAATCCAATTTTAATTTATAATAAATTGCTAAAATGTAAACTTAAATCAAATGGTTTTCTGGAAAAAGATGATATCATCAATTCATTTCGCAACACACTTTTACCACGACTGCCTCATAAATAAAACCATTATAATTCCCAAACCATGCTAATGAGTTCAACATAATTTAAAATTTAATCGCGCAAGTCATTTATATATGAATTAGTTCATTTATATTTGTAATTAAGTTTTAAATTGGATAAACACCGTTTAAATGATTTTGTTAATTTAAATTATGCCACTCTAAGCATTTTATAGACAGTTTGTTAAATTAAATATCTAGTTACTAATAATAACTGACTATCAAGAGTTAAATTAACTATCGACGTTCGAAACATTTTCATTATACATCTTACAATTAAATCTCGTAAATTAAATTAATTGTATCCTTAAACATACGTGGGACTACCACAATTACATCAATTACAACAGTTCATTTATATAATTACTTCATAACGAAAGTGCTTCAGTAATTAAGCAATTGGCTAATTCAACTTTTTGGACGTGTGAAAATCTGTAGCAATTACTTTTTGTAATTGCGATTGTATATTTATATTAAGTTGCTGAATTAAAATTGTGACAACTACTAAAATTGCGATGAGAGATATAATTACATATTTAGTGGGAAATAAATGAGAATTGAGATATAATTCATACAATGATAATTTTGGAGAGTATAAATGTACATTTGCTTAAAAAAATAGTCGATTATATGCTATAAAATATGAGATATATTTGTGATGGTAGACGGCAACTATGAAAATCAAAAAAGTAAAAAAAATATATAAATGAGCTTTAATAAAATAAGTACAATAAATGTTGTAGATTGATACCAGATACTAATAATAAAAAAAAAATAAAGGATGCATTAATATCCATTCCAAAATATCGGTTATATCCAGCGGATGCCATCAATTGTTTTACTATAGAACATGATAATAGCGGATGTAAAACGCGAATTAAAAATATTCACTTCCTAATTTAAATATTATTGCAAAGAAATAAATAACTTCTACTGCACTTACCTCGCATAATGTTCCTGATCTTCCAACTGGACAAATGCATCTGAAACCGCCAACCAAGTCAACACATTCTCCACCATGCCTACAAGGATTTGTTTGACATTCATCAACGTCTTGGGAACAATCACGACCTGCAAAATTTAAAACAAATGTAATTGTTAACTGATAAATCATTTTATTAATTGATAAAATGTATTAAGTAAATATGCTTACTTAAATAAATACATAAATATGTAACATTTACCATATCGAGGTAGTTTTAAAAATCATATTTCAAAATAAAGTATTGGTAGCAGCAACAATTCCATTCATTAAGACATATTCATTAAAATTAATGAAGCAAAGTGAAGAACAAAATAAGACTATTACATTAAGAAAATAAATTATTCATTGAAGCTTCATTAAATTTACTTTACTTCGATGAATAAGCCATGTAAGTTCTTCGATTGTTGTTTCATATATAAGTTAATATGAGAGTGCGTGTATATGCAAATCACTTGTCAAAAATACGTGCATTAAACAACGGTTTTTTATGTAATTAAAACATTGTAACGTTAATTTCCGCACCGCGCTTGGGCAATAAAAAGTGATAAAGTTGGGACCAAATGTAAATTATGAAACGCTTAATAATTTCAATTTTCAAACCAATAAATAATAAATGCTGGTGTATCGCTAATTAGATTCAAAAATCAAATAGATAAAAAAAATACATATGAGTTCTGAATCATACTGATAATCTTTAACATATGAGTTAGCAAAAAAACATATTTGGGTGAGTTTGGTCAATGGTCAACTCAAATAACAAAATGTGCTTAACTCAAAATATATAAAACAATGACTCCATTTAATAAAAATTAGAAAATTGGTAAAATTTTATTTTATAAATTTATACGAAGCATGGTTGACCAACACCGTGACAGTAATATGTTGGTTCATAGGATCAAAAATGTATATATAACAGTAAAATAAAAATAAAAAAGTACAATTACAATTTAAATATCCACTACTCAATTCGCATCACACCGAAAAGTTGTGTTTCAATACAAAGTGATCTTACCAACCGTTCTTCCGTAAAAGCTCAATATCTGATCCAAGCCAAAATGAAAACATCGCTGGAACCTCATTACGTTATTAATTCGAAAAATATCAATGGATGATAATAATCGACGTGTGTGTTATAAATAAACTGCGCGAATTTGAAATCATTTCGAAATAAATCAATAATTACCGGCATCACATCGAGGAGAAATCGGTTTAATGACAGTGCTCGGTGCTCGGTATTCCAGGTAAGGCAGACGGTAAATAAATTGAGCAGATATGCGTGCAGTACCCAGAATGCGCATACCGAAGTATGCGATATATAAATTCTCTACTTATATATGGTTAATTTCTGAATTAATAGCAATACCAGTAGATAAGAACTGGGAGAGCATAAATGACTGTCAATCGCAAATTTCCTGGAATTACAAAGTACCTGCAGCATAACTGTATAAGGTATACGCTGTTAATTAATACCAATTGAGGACATGTTGATTCATACATATAGGTTTTGCGAAATCATTTCTGGGCGGTTTAATAGATTTATTGAGAAAACACTTAACCCTGAAACATAAAACCTGACACAATTTTGTTACATACAGCAAGGTAGGTCCTGACTTTCCGGATGCTTGTATTTATCGCAATTTATTCTCCGTAATTTATCCTTCAGTAGAAAATCTTATAAATTGGAAAAATATTTTTGTAAAATCAAATTGGTATAGATACCAATATGTTTCTAAGTGAGAATAGCCCTCATCCGGGATTTCTGCATCAATAAATATTGGCCATGCTACAGAAATTGTGATAAAATTTATCACATAGAAATGAGAGTGCTGTTTGGGTTGTCATCTGTAAAACCGACGTAGTATTAAGTCAAACCAGCACAAAAGCATATCTGATTGCTGTTCAGAAAAATAAACATGCCATACCAAGCCTACTTAAAATTTTGGATATTTGACTATTTCCAAAACCAATTTTCTGTACGTCTTCGACAGCATCATGGTTCAGAGCAATACCATTAAGTTTATTTATTATTATAGTATTATAGATATTACGGCCTATCAATACCAAAATAATCAACTGCAAATTATCTAATTAATTAAACCATTCCAATCAGTGTGATTTACTAGTGTATTACAAATTTGCATAAACCCCCTATCGTGGTATTAACGCAAGTTCTCTACGGGATATTTAGCTGCAAGTACTGACTAACAACCGTGGCTACCATAAATATTTTGTTCACAGACAGCATAATTATCTAGTATATGGCCAAGTATTGTAATTACTCATCTCTCCTTGTTATGGTGTACCTGGAGACACTTTGAGAAATTACATTCTCCTTGTGAACAACTGACACAGATATCAGTAAAGCTCTTAACTAAATGGATACACACAACTGGAAAATGATTTATTCAAAATTGTATAATTGAGATATTAGAAATATATATTTTTATACATTTATGACCTTCACGAGTTTGAAAATTAAGTCAAAATTCCATTTTGAAGCAAAAATTCGGCAATTACAATAAAATAATAATTATTTAGAACTAGAGAGAAAAATTGAAATGAATTATAAAATACTCAATATTATTGAGAATTAATCAAACCATACGATTTCGTGCCAACATGTTTTTATATCCCTAAGATTGCACAGAATAATGTATTTATATCCAAATCAATTTAATCAATTTGAATAAATCTACGACCAGCCATCCGCCTAAAACTATCTTTACCGATTAATAACCTAATAACACTATGTACGAGTACATGTGTTAATGAACTACGATTTCCTGTTTGCAGATTTAGTTATTTATTTATTTACTTATTTATGAAATACGATGGATGTCTTTAGTCGTTTCAAGAAACATGTTTGATAAGGCTGTTATGGACCGTTGCCCAGAGGAAATGATGCCAAATTACTTGTAAACTTTTTTTTTTTACTTCAAATTTGCAATATGTTTACAAGTCTTTTCGTTTAAATGCCAGAAATATTCCATCTCATTATTGTAATGAAAACGAATTCTTAAAATAAAATTATTTGTATTTTTAAAGTGACAACAAGTAAAAGCAAGAGTTTCAAATGCAAATGATCATAACTTTTCAAAATTATCTACAATTTTTGTTTTGTTATACTTGATGAAGTTTTACTATTCTCTTCATTATATACACTCTGGTTATTTATCCAAGATCGTCAAATATTTATTATTACAATTTACAATTTCACTTTTATACATCTGCTCAAAGCACACATTTTCCATCACAAACTTTCGTTTACGTTTGCACCTGTGTATAAAAAAGAAATGCCAAAAATATCCCACTAGCATATTCAAAATTGTACCTGCATCGAAACAAATAAAATATCAAAAGGCATGTGCACCAAATGATGTCAACAAAATGACAGCATGTATCAAGGTGCAACCCTCATAATAAAATACCCTTATAATATAGAGGGATGATTAAATCATAAGCTTCCGTGATGAAGAATGATACATTTTGTAAGATTAGTATAGTTGGAAATATTGTTTTTAAAATATTTAATGCGATATGCAAATATAGATCTATGATTAAGTATCTTCATACAGGGTAGAGCCGGGCACAAAGATCCATTTTGACTTATATTGAGAGTAATTATATTGCCTAAGCCAAATGAGCTACATCAACTATCGAACTATGTTCAGTAAAATTCCCAGATAATTCCTACTTACAGAATATATTAATTTTTTTGTTTTTAAATAATTTATCGCCTGGTCCTTTTTACCCCATGGGCGCGGTAAAATGAGACAGCCAGGAGGCCCCAGGTCCATTGTTTTATTTTTAATGTTGACGGGATTTTACAAAATAATAGCAAATAAAAGTTGTTTTACCAATGCACATTTTTTGAAAAGATAACACTGTATATAACCTTGATCTGGTATTTCGTCAGAAATATTCATCAACAGAGTTGGAGTAACCATTAATTTAATTTATCCTATGTGAAACTGTTTTTTTAACTATTTACTTTTTTTCACTCTTTGCGGTTTTACCAGGGTAAAGGTTCAGATGGTATAGCGACAATGGAAATTTAAGACGATTGTTGGTTAAACATATTTGCCCTCTATTTTCAAAGTTATATTGTTAAAATTCGTAGTTTTACTTGTTTTTTAGATATTGGTGGTGGACCATTTCACCCACTGACCTTTAATCCCCGCTCTACCCAAATTCAAAACCACTTTCAAACTACTTTATCACGAAGACAACCAAATAATCGTTCAACCTTTGACCCTACTAATACGCTATTCACCCTATCAAATTAATTCACCCTTCTTGATATATCAACCCTTTATCTCTCTACCCTAAATTGCCACTCACCTGTATATCCAGAAGCGCACGCGCAGTGGTAGTCGTCCACGAGATCTATGCACGTGGCCCCATTCAGACACTGTCCCACGCAGTCGTCTATGTTCCGGGCGCAAAGCGCTCCGCCCCAGCCTGGCGCGCACGTGCAGTGGAAGCCCCCGTGCGTGTTGGAGCACGAGACAGCGTTCGCGCAAGGGGAGGAGAGGCATTCGTCGACGTCTGTTGAAGGAAAAGAAGGAAATTATTGTTAGAAAATAATAGATATATAATTGATTTTGGAGGATATCAAAATTTTTATAAATTCATATATTAAGGATTGGCCTCTTAATATATGGATTTATAAAAATTCGGATTTCCTAAAAAACGATAACATAGCGTTGTTATGGCAACGCTATCTTATCCTTCTTTCTGTGTATTAAAAATTGTGAAAATGCTTTCTATTTGCTGTGCGATCTAGCGTATTTTACATACAAACAAACATATAAAAAATGTTATCATTAGAACAACTTTTTGATGCAGATTTAAAACATACGGTTTTATGTTAAAACTCCTGACAAAGATATTTTAAACAAAATATATATAATATATTAAAAACATTCTACTATCTAGTATTGAATTTGAAATAAAATTTTACATAAATTTAAATATATATATTTAGGAATAGGGTTCGTCATGGCGAAGGTCGTTAACGCGTTGACTTTGTATGGACAGGGTCGCGCGTTCGATTCCCCGCTCTTGCAATCTGACATCGGGCAGCGCGATGTTCATTTTCAATTGAAAATATAGTTCCAAATATGTTTCCAATTGAAAATAAGCCCATTTCGGGCACTGCGGTGTGAAACGGCAATGAGAAATCTGTCACGCTATTCTTCCCTGAATCGAGTAGGAGTTTTAACTCAGCTCACGGACCTACCCTAGGGCAGTACACCCATTATTGTTCAGAAATCATTTTTGAAGATCAAACTAATTCTAAAGTGGCTCAACTTTTTAAGCCTGATAAAGAAGATTTCAATAGACAATATTCAAGGCATTTAACTCCACTACATCTTTGGAGAACTAAGATGAATTGGTGAATCACTCGTTGGAGGGAAAACTACTGACTTACAAAAAATTAGTACAGTAATTCCATTTTGTGAGTGTATGTGTCTAACTAAATGTATTGAACTAAATAGTTCAAACAAAAATAACGAAAATAAAAAACAACAAAATATGTTCACACATGAACAAGTCGCATTGATAATGGCAATGATAAAATAAGTTAAATTATCTATTACCCAAGTACGAGATTGATGTCAATGTCAATCGAAAACACACTTCAGCTCCTAATTCTCATAGGTTGTAATTGAAAAACGTACAAAATACATAACCTATGACCCCAAGTAAATACAAACGTCTAATTTTCGTATCTGCTCTTACTTACTATTTTATATTTACATTTTCTCATATGTATGTTTCTAACAAAGTCTGAACGTTATTTACCATAATATGGAAAAATATTTCAAAAACACATCTATCGAGGTCAAGATTAAAAGATATGGAGACGCATATGGTTTACTAAAAATATCAATTAGTATACATTATAAAAGTCACGGTATTTAGTTATTATGAACAGATTTACAGACTCTAAAATCCTTAAACAATTAGGAAACTGTTCGATAATAATCAGAAAAGTATGTTCGGTACTAAATTTACGTTTCAAGGTCGGTTATTTTTAAATTCAACCGCATGTTGTCTATTAGTTTCCTCCGGCACGCTTACCGTAAACATTTCTGAATAGAACAGATCTACGTAAGCTTCAGCAAAGATATCTAGTTTCTAATTTACAAACGATTTAAAAAATCTAAATGGTCTCGCCAATACTTTACGCGCCGACAGAATCACCGTATTTTTTCCTTTTCGCTTGCTATTTTTAATACAGCACACATATGTCTTCGTTTAGTTTCCTGCATCAATATATATGTATTCTTGCACGCTTCAATGGGCTCGGAATCGATGCCACAGCCAAGTGCAAAGACAAACCGCTGCAGACGCACGACGAAAAAACATGTCAAAAGGTCAAACCCGAGGGGGGATCCGACTTCGAATTTGAAGAAAAAATTAATATAACGAGTTTATAGACATTAATATATGATCGCCGGTGAGTGGTCGATGATGAATTCGTACTACGTGTAAAGGAATCCAGAGAAGAGACGATGGCCACGCCGGATTTATAGTCGCTTTAGCGCCATCACATTAACGCCAAGACACTGTGACTTATTACCGAGACTTTGTTATGGGCTGGATGTAGGGGTGTTCATTTGGAAAACGAACCATCGAAACAAAGAAAATAAATTTTTAAATCACAAAGGAAAACTTTGGATTAAGATTAAGGTAGTATTCTGGTCTAGAATTTTGAAAGAAAACTGTTTTGTTTCTTTATATTTTTTTAAAAGTTTAACTCTTCAAGAATATGTGTACAAGAGGATTTTCCAAAATTCAAATTATTTTCAGAGTTTGTTGACCACGATAATCCACATCTGTTTCCTTACTCTGCGAAACTTCTAACGAGATCTCGAAACTGTCTTATTCGATACGATACCCACAATTTCTCAACTTTTACTGAACCGATTTACTTGAAATTTCACACAGAGTCTCCTTTATAAACCTTTCTCCAGTATGAACTACGCTAATCATCCAATTCCTATTTTCACTATTTTAAGAAATTTGAAGAATGCCAAAAAAGTTATAATTTTTGTTGATCCACATGATCAAAATTTGACCAATCTTTCAACCATCCTATTATTTCTACATTTTATTGTAAAGACAAATTATATCTACAATGATGCTTTAGCAATTCACAAACCATTGAATTCTTCCAACACGACATAGCTTTCAAAAAAAAATTAAAATGCTATTCAAATCCCATATCGTCTAAAACGAAGTCCAGTCTGTCTGAACAAAACAAGTGTTCGACATGAAGGAACAGAGGATATCGTTAGTGACTTAACGCCGTCTCACCTTCGAAACAATGGAACAAATCGTGAATTATCGGGGAAACGATGCGAGACGCGACATTTTTGTCCTACAATTAGGAATGGGGAATGATTCTTGGCATTTTTTATAATCGAAATTACGACCATTAAACTTCTCATCTAGCATTGAAATTAGCCAATGAGAGATAATTTTAGTTCTCTCTTCAACATTTTGGGAACAAGAGAAAAATGAAGCATGTGGTTTTATTTCAAATTATGATAAGCACTATTGTTAGTAATCAGTCCATCTATAACTTTCGCTTTTGTGTACTAATAATTTTGTATAATGAATTCCGAGGATTTGAAAATTGAGTATATTTGGAAAAGTGAGGATATCTTGCTTGAATGCGGCCCAGTAAATCGTTGCTGGGTAGAAGTGTAGAACGTTTAGCTCGCTCGGCTGATATGAAGGCTGAGGACTTCAAACACAAATAGAACACTATATGAAATTAATTGAATGATTTATTCACAAGAGATTTATTCACAAGAAAAATAGATAACACTCGAAGATAATACAGTAATAATCGCAAAGCATTATGGCGAATGCTTGAAGCTCCCAGCGCCCCATACATTTTACGGAATTGCCCTCGTCTAGTATTGCTGAATATGATTGTTAAATATATTTTGCTCGTTCCATCTAACGCTATTGTGACGCAAACAAAAACTATCCTATTTTGACTGAAAAACTACTTTTATTTCAAATAAATATAAATGTTTATTATGAGCATTCATTTCTATATTTTAAATTTCTCAATTGTAAATTGAAAGTATGTGTTTTTCTATTCGTGAGTGTGTTTAGGTAATTTTAAATCGAATTTTCTGCACGATTTGAGTCTTCTTCCCGAGACGACCACAGATCACACCGATTCGCCGTCACCTACGCTCAAAGTTCGTTAACTATCTTCTACGCTTGGTTAATTCCAAACGCCAAAGTCATACCGTTTATTTTTTTCTCGCTGTGTCAACGCACAAAGAAATTTCACGCCGGTACAAGCCATTATCATTAATGATTTGCGAAGACGGATTTGACAAAAGAGCGTCGAAAATCGTCCATATCTCGTAATATATCTAAATGAATTCGCTTTAGACAATTTCCGATAATGTTTTATGCAATCGCTAAAAGCTTTTGATGATTTCTATCTGATAAAAATCGATGTAGATAATTATCGCCTGATTTTGGAGGCGCAATATGTAGGTAGTCGACAAGTGTTTTTATTAGGTTTTTGTGTAGGTAAAATACCGTTTGATTATCACACATTGTGTGAGATTAAAATTATTGAAAAGATCAATGTAAACGATAATGCTTTGTTTGAAATGTAAATTTAAGAAATCAGTGTTTATGAAATCGAAATAAAATTCCATAATCTATGATCATTTTTAAAAGATATAGTTAAAAAAAAATACTGCTATAGATTTGTCGTTGATCTTTTAGAATTTTGTCCAAGATGATTTGAAGTTCAGATTCCAACAAAAGACATGTAGGGGGAAGTCCAGTAACGCCGGACGGCACTTAAAGCCGGGCACTCTATTTAACACGTATTATTTGAGCGAGTATAAATTTCTTTATTTCAAAATACAAGTGAAGGGGGCGCGGGAGCAACTTTGTTGTTTTAGGCCCAAAAACACGGCGTCACCTAAATATCAATGGAAGTAATTCTACAGTATTTATGCATTTATATTTTAGTGGCACTCAAAAATAAAAGTAGTACATGATAGTTATCCGTAAAATGGTAGAATATTATTAGATATTTTGAACAATTTTAGTAGGTACCACCAAATGAACGAAATTGTCTGTCCCTTAGTACCGGACCCTAAGTCGTCCCTTAGCGCCTGAAGTAAACATATTAATATTTCTTGTAAGAATTGACGTAATTTATTCTAATTATTTAATTTTGTTCTGTATGAGTGCTAACCGTCAGTACATACCCCTTTTTTCGTATTTTCTAGTCAAAGAATGAAAATCGGTGATGAATGCTCCAGCTGAGAGCATCGGCCAAAAGGGTGGATAATTAGTGATTTTTTTTGCAATATCTAAGAATATTCGTCAAACACAAATGTGCAGACATTCCAGGTTATTTTGAAATGTCCGGTACTAGGTGCCACTTCGTAAAATCATGTTTTTTGTCACTAAAGTTTGATTGATAGTATTAATTATTGTTTAGCAAAGATTGCGTTTTTGTTAATTTAGTTTGATTTCTAACATAGGTCATGATTTAATAAACATTTCGTAAAATATTTTATGATTTATTTATAAATAACCGGCACTCGGGGCCTTTCCCCTATGAATATATTTGCAAGGTACGTTTTCTACAGCGAAACGTAGAATAAGTTCATGGAAATGAATCCTTCTTTAAGTACCCTTTCGGAAATTAGACAAAAGACAACAAACGACATTAAATCGTGGGATATCTCTGTGTCAGATTATAAAAGTGTAAAAACGCAAAACGGCGTACGCAATAAAAGTGCTCGGCTCTCCTGGGCCCGCGTTAGCTTTCGGGTCGTTTCCTCGCACGAAAGGTAAAATTCGAAAACGTCGTTAGATGCATTCCTATCCGTGAAACTCACGGTTCGTCTTAATGAAGTGTGCAACACGGCGGGCATGTTCACCAGCGTGCGAATTGGCTAACTTAACCGAGGATCAACCTGTGTACCTACACATACCTAATTACAAGAAAATCATTTTTTTGTCTCATCGAACTGATGGGATTGAAACACCTTTCTCCTTGGGAAATAACAATCGTTTGAATCATACTTACTGAAAATATTTTGCAAAAATAGATGCATAAGTACTTTGAGATTGAAAATTATATAAACCGAATTAGAACCCGTCAATAATTATCAAAAAAAAAAAAAAAAAGTTTATGCCAATGTCTAAGTACACATGTTGGTATCAAGGCTCATCAGCCAATTCTGTGAACAAAGCTGCTTATTTAAGAGTTTATTATGAAGTTTACCTAGGTACTTTGAGTGAAAAAGTTATTGCTTCAATTTGATTCGCTTAATCAGAATTAGAATTCAGTACAAATTAAATAGCTATAAAAATAAAGTAAAGTAAATACATCCACTATAAGACATATCCGATCAGATATGTTCATAAGTTTTACGGAAACTATACATAAAGTGAAATTGATAAGCCACCTGAATCATATAATTTAAAATAAACTAGGATAAGTCAAAATTGTTATTTGTGAAAATTTATTCAAATATTTATAAGTACCTGTTTCACAGTGTTCTCCTGTCCATTCCGAAGGACATTCACAGCGAAAACCATCAACCAAGTCTATGCACGATCCTCCATGCTCACAAGGATTTCCTACACAGTCGTCAATATCTGAAAAAAATAAATGAAATAAATTACCTAAAATGAATTGTTTCACATATGATAAACTTAGAAATAGATATTATATTCTATATACACCAGTTACCAGAAGATTACAGAAGAAGATCCTAAAAAACAATAATCAAGGCATTTTTCCAACATCTTTGAAGACCAGAGCTGAATTGGTGAATCAGTCATTAGAGTGCAAAGTATTAACTTACAAAAATTCAGCATGATAGTTTGATGTGCACAATTTAAATCAAGTTTTAAGGTCATAGACATTTATCTTCATTCTTTCTTCAATTTTCAATTTAAAATAACTAGACTGGCTAGCATGTTATCTTTACATACCAGTCATCAAAATGCTTTTCCATAAAGATTGTAATTATGTGGAAATTTTGATAAAATATTAAAAACGCAGAATCAATATACAGAATCAATTCAAATATGAACCTGAAATATGTTCCAACTATGTTCTTACGCATTTCTCTATGTAAGTCGTTCTACAAACTGTAATCCGAGTAATTATGCAGAATAATTACAGTGCGTCCTCTGTTCTCGTATTTGTTGCTTTAGTATCAGGCCATAATGATAATGATGATTTAAATCGTTTATAACATACACGCGTGATACAATCAAAACGAAACCTATTTCAGAACATTCAACTTGATGTAATCCGCGATTTTGATCGCACGAATTGACGTAGAGTAAACGTCTAATCCGCTCGCTCTCTGTTCACAGATATGGAGGATATTAAAATTATCACAGGTGGAAACGTGTTTTGAAACAGGAAATATACCATAAACTGTCATAATTAAAATTTTTAACTTTGCGATGATAACTTAATTAAATTTGCCAAAACTTCGGTACGCAAACCAATGTGCGCACCAAAGGGCATCAAAATAAAATTTGTTGGTTGTCTTTTGATAAATACCAGATTATTTAAATACGAATTTATATTAAATAGATAAATAAATTCTTCGTGCTAATCATTCATCAATCAGAAATATTAATTACAATTAATTTTATTTAATTACAAGTTGTTTAACTGTGTTGATGAAGATTGTACAGGAAAAATTGATCTGCATCACTGTGGTAATTTTCATTGGACAACATATTTCAAAAGGTAATAATTACATGTGAAATTATACAAATCAAAGAATTTGCAGTTCATAAATTCGGTTAATAATTACATACTATGTTTATCACCTTACATTTGGCTCCTCGCCAATTTGAATTTGCGATCCATGCGAACGCATAAGAGCACAAAGCACATATTTCCTATGATAACATCGGATACAGAGACGAGTGTGGTAGGTACGAAGTCTAATAAATTTGATACTTTGATAATATACATGTGTCCCATCTAAGTGAATTATCGTACTTGCATTAGAGAAAAACGCAGGGACGTGCCTTGGTGAGTTCGCCAAGTTATTAATTTCGATGTGTAACGATGAGGAATGAGATTATTGCCTAGGATAAGAATACTGACCAATTTATAGTTGGAATTATTTTAGTACAGGGGAATAATTTTAACATTTTAATTTAGCCCTTATTTCTGAATAAATTTAGTAAAATTATAGAAAGATTGCTATATGTTCATCATTAGCTGTGCATCGAAAGAATAAATACTTGTTCCCAATTCAAATTAAAAATATTTATTTAAACACCATACTGGACATCAAGGAGTGCGAAAAACTGGCAAAGAACTCATCATATCGCACTTGAAGCAATATGCATTTATTTACATAAAAAGTTTATTCTTACTTTGAAATGGATGTTCTTAATTTGAAAATTAAATCCCAACCGTTGTTGATAATAACAGTAATTCAAAATTTTCGATGAAAACTACTTCTCACGGCGGGCAAATCGGAATACCACCGTTATCTCGAAAACAAGTAAAATATAGAATTTTTCAACAACAATATTTAAAAGTAGAGGGCAAACCAGACTGCGTCGCAAATATAAGATAGACGACCATGTACCAGTATTTTTTGTTTTTGGTAGTTCCTTTGGTTTTGAGCTCTTTTATTTAGTGTATGATACCTGAATATAATTTTTAGGTGTATGTTATTTAATTGTTTTATAAGATGTGTTGTGATTTTTAAGGTAGATTCAACACTTTTTTATGAAACAAAAAACCATTTAAACTTTTGTACTGCCAAAGGTGTAAATTAATTGGCAATTTACTGAACATAGTTTGACAGTTGGTTCTTCGATACGTGTTATTTGTTGTGATATAGTTCATTTGGTTTAGACAGTGTAATTACAGAGAAATAAATTGGACTTTTGTGCCCCCCCCCCTATCCTATATAAATATTACAATGTATTTATTATTTGCAGTCAATGTACCACAGTTATATATAAGCATTATCTTTTAGTAACCCCACTTTTTTCGTGTAAATCGTATATGTAGCTGTTGTTGTCCAAAAGTATATTTTTAAAACTGGTAAAATCAGTCAAAATCTAATCTAACAAAAAAATGTATTAAAATATTTTCGGTACATTAACGCAACACTTAACATAAACATTTCAGTGTCCAAATCTGGAGATCATCTCTTTTTATTGCGGTGAGCACATAATGATGGCCATTAACTCTTATTAACTGTCGCCTTGTCTTGACTGACAAAAACGTATACAAAAAGCAGCATACAGATCCATATACATATTCCACCGAAATTTCTTCTGTGTAAAAATTATACCGAATATAATAATATAATAGGAATATAAAAATCTATAATTTGAACTCATTCTAACATAAATGCTGTCTGCGGTTATGTAGTCGACCCTTTATTATATTAATTTAAAAGATCAAGAATTATATTGATTTCCGAAACATAATTGAGTGTTTTTTTATTAAATAAAAAATGAATTAAATTGAATGCAGAAAATTAAAGGAAAATCAGTAATAGCTCATTTTGGTTCAATAAACTAAAAACAAGATTTTTGTTTAAATACATCATGTTAGTCCTCATATTAACAATCCAGTAATCTCCTGTGCTCCAACATCATCTAACGCATTCAGAATATAAAACATCTCTCATAGAACGTTGACATATTTAAAAAACAATTTTTATAGCAAAGGTTAAATGTTGTCGACGATGTGTGTGTTTATGTATTATACGTATACACATCATTTTATCCGCCGAAATTTTGTTGGAAATATTACATGATATTTATACAGAAATAATGTCAAATTAGCATTCGTTTACAACGAACCGTTTTAAAAAGAACGATAAATGATATGACATCTCTAAGAGCGTTTCGTAACTTTCCTGTTTTTATTCATATATGTATAAATTAACTGGCGTTCTAAAATATTTTTATTTTCTAATATTGTACGAAAACAAATATTCGACAGATACAGGTAGCAGAATTAAGTCGATGATATAAAAAATAGATGGTGATTTAGTGATGGCGAATGATTGAAATAAGCGTTCGATATATATGTTGACAGATTGTTTCCAATATTTCATGATAAGAATTAAATATATTTCAAGTAGATAATTGAAATCTAGAAGAAAATAATAATGAAACACTGTAAGCGTATGCATTATTGCGCGCAGCCGATTTTTCAAAACTTTAATTATAAAATTAAACCACTTCTCATAGGCCTATAATATTTTAAGATATTAGGTTTGCCTATCAACTCTATCGCCATGCGAAGTTTCATCAAAATCCCAGAAGAGTAATCCTGAGGTTATCCTTATGAGTAATTAGTTAATAGAAAAATAATATAATTTTATTTTTAATCAATTTTGTGGTGCTCTGTATTTGTTAATTGACACATTGTTAAATTTATGTCATAGATTTTTTTAAAGTATTCTTGTTTATCATAAATATATTTAATAATTTCTTTTGACCGCATTGTATATACCAATGCCACACAGAGTTCAAGTATCCACGTGTTTAGAAGTATTAACAGAATTCTGTTTGAAAATACTAGAATGTCAAGCTTTTTAAATCCATCTCAAGATATTTCAAACACTCCAGCAGTGTGGCCGAACTTAATGAAAAAACCTCTATACAAACAAATTAGAAAGTAATGGAAATATTATGTGTATTAAATGATGAAAAAATAATTTGGATGAGATAATTTTATAGAGGATGTAATACAATGATAATAAAAAATATAAGATTCGGTATATTCATATAAATACATAATTCTGCCAAAATAATTACGCATTGACAATAGTCAATCACATCAGTTTTCAATTTCAAGGTGTACTATCGATTTAATAAAATCCTCCAAGTTTATTGCGATGCGAATAGAAGATAGCGAAATTTACCGACGACTTATGTGTTTATAACACATAGGTATAAAAGCATCGTGATAATAATGAGTTATTTAACGATGTTATTCATAATTATAGTAATTGGAAAAGTTAACGAATCTTTTAATGTGAATGATTGCAGAGAATACCATAATCATTGATTGTCCTACGGCGACAGTACCTGTTCTTAGCGGTCGGAGCGTCGTGTGAGTCGTCCTCTTACGCGTAAATGTAACACTTAAAGAATTAATCGAACGTTTTGATTAATTTCAATTAATATAATATTTTTTTTACCTTTGACCTCTTATGTATAAAAAATGATCTCCATGCATCATAAAAAAATAAAATTTACTTATTTAAAAAATAAAACAACTTCTGCATTCTTTTTTCATTATCAGAAGCAGAGTTTTTGTTGAAACGGAACAACTAAAGCTTCACCCCGGTAAAGGTGTAAATAATAAAAATAGTAAATAAAGAAGTAAATTAAGTTTGGAGAAGCAATTTTACGAGAGATAAATCAAATAAATAGTTATTCCAAATCTGCTGTTGAATATTCCTGACAAAATACCAGATCAAAGTTATATACAATGTTATCTATGTAAAAAATGTACTCATGAAATTCATATTTTGCATTGGGTGAGTAATGTAGTTACTATTTCTTGAAATCCCTTTAAAATTGAAAATAAGACATTGGACTTTTTATCATGATTGGGCACCGCCTATCAATTCGCTGGAAGT